TTATTAATAAATAAATATATGATTAAACATACCAAAATCCGAAAATTGGTAAACTTTGGAGACAAAAAAAAAAAACATCTTGAAAGTTCGTAAAATTTTTTTTTTGGTTATGGTAGTTTGGACCTTCTACTAACAGAAACAATCGAAATCTCTTCCAACTTTTTCCAATATTTGAAAATTTTCAATTTTGAAAAAGTTGCTAAATGCCTTTTTTTTGGTATTATTTTAGCTGATCTATATTTACAATACTTTTTCTGAATGCCCTAAGATCTAAATTTTTGGTTCGCTTTTCAAAAATAAGGTATTGAGTTAAAGCTAAAAGTGCCAAAAAAAAAAATTAAGAGGTACAGGGTGCTTTGAAATGAAAAAAATTATCAGCTAATTAAAATACTTAAATATGCATCACGGTATGGGAGCCAAAAACAAAGGTATACGAAGATTTACATATATATATATATACATATATATATATATATATAGAGCAATGACACCAGTTTACAAATAATATGTTAACCAATGATTAGACGAAAGGCGAACAAAAAGCAAATAAAAATAAATAACATACCTATTACTCTTCATCTGCATAAAGAGTACTATTTTGCTTAAGCAGCAAACAGCTTGCGAAAATGATAGTACAAATGTATGCACATCATGGAGGTCCAATTTTTTTATATATTTTTTTTTTTTTGATTGAGTCTTTTTATAATTTTGTTCACCTAACTAATTACATTACCTGTGCAAAAATTTCAACGTTTTACTATTAGTGGAAAATGTAGCTCAACGCGAGTTTAAAATTTCATGAATTTTTCTCTGGTGCTAAGAGTCCTCTCTTGTGGAAAACAAATAAAAACCCAAGAGTTTAGTGTTTTGTTGAACGAAACAAGAGAGTTATACCTTAGAAATTATGGTTGGTATAACATGCCAAGTTCAGTGCGTAAAGTTTTAGTACGTGGACGTGATGTAATTAAATACTTTGATTTACCAATAGGTAATGATTTTAAAGCTATGTTTTCATTTATTTTCTTATTCTGTATTTCCACCTATTTTATCAGGTTCATTATCAGAAGAAGCCTTAGAATGTTCACACAAAAACATAAGAAAATATCGGCTTAATCGTTCTCGAAAAACTGGAAGAGTACAAAGCAATACGGATTTAATGACTCGTTTGATATTATCGTCAGATCCATTAGTTGCATTTAAAAGAAATATAAAACAGAGAAACAAATATTTAAAGGGTTCTGATCTCAGCTTTAATAAATACATTGTTGAAAGTGACGAAGCAGACAAAAGCATGGAATCATTTGAATCAGTGATCACTTCCTCCTCTTCTGAGGACTCTGAAACTGAGTGATTATAACAAATAGTTCGGTTTTTATTAACATATTATATGTTATTACCATATAACAGCTATTATTACTTACTTACTTAACAGTGATTATGCTTTATTTTAAATGAAATCAAAAGAATTTTTTTTTCTAAAGGTTAACATGTAAGGAAAACCGACTTAATTTTTCAAATTACCATAATGTATTCATTTAGGAAGTAAAGTTTAGACGAATTTTGACTATTAAGACTATTTTTCTGAACACTTAGCAACAATGATATGCCATATTTCATTTTTAAATAATCATGTGCAAAAACTCGGTGTTTCTTTAATGGGTACCCGTTACAAAAAAACCGATTACTTTCTTAAAATTAGAGTAATATAGACACTTCAGATGTAAAGTTTCAATAAATTCTGACGACTCCTTCCTGTTTTCGTAAACACCACAATCAGCAATGATTATGCCTTATTTGTCTTTCATATAGTAATGTAAAAAAAAATCTTTTTTTTTTAATGGGTACCCGGTACCGAAAAATCGATTCCATTTTTGAAATAAGCATGGGTTAGTCCTTTTAGGTGTAAAGTTTCAACAAGTTCTGAATACTATTTCGGTTTTTATAAACATATGTCTACGATGATTATGAGTTATTTTACCTTTTTATAAAATTGTAAAAAAAAAAATTTTTTAATTAAATGGTAACAGATGCTGAAAAACGTTTTTTTTTTCTTAAATTGCCGTGATATAGTCCTTTCAGGTGTAAAGTTTCAGCCCATTCTGATGCCTCCTTCCACTTATATCAACACATGTCCACAATGACTATTTTCATATAAAAATGCAAGAAAAACTCGGTTTTCTCGAAATGAGTAACCGGTACAGAAAAACCGATTTCATTTTTGAAATTAGAGGGGCATAATACTTCTAGGTGTGAAGTTTCAGCCAATTCTGACCACTCCTTCTATTTTTGTCCATCATTTGTATGGAGTCGCGGCACTGTGCGGCGGTGGCAACGCGCGCCTCTTCATTAAAAGCACTCGAATTGGAAAGCGTCAGCCTGTGCAACTTCATTAGAGACAACTTAAGCAAATCAAGAGGAAAATTTAATTAAAATCATAAACAAACAAGAAGTTCCTTAGCAAAATGGGGCTGATGAGTGGTAGAATGAGATTATCTGAAGTTGTCGAAGCTTTTCATGCGTTTCTCCTTCTCACGCTGGCAATGTTGTTGGTATTGTCAACAGAGCTATTGCGTTACTCAAAAAATTGTTTTTGCTTTAATGCAATAAGTAAATACATACATACATGCATATCAGGGCGGGGTAATTTTTTTCGACTATAGGCGTATATCATAGGAGGATTCCACGAGTAATTCTAGGCAAATTTGCCGAAGAAAGCATTGGTCTAGCAGCAATTTGGAGTTTGCCAAATTGCGAAAATAGGTTTGCTTTATTTTGTATAAAAGCATGCTGTAAGAGGTTTTTGGTATGAAGAATCTATTTCTGGGCTTATCCCTTTTTCTAAAACATCCGACAGAGGGCGCAACAGTTAAAATTTTCACATTTTCTTACGTGTTAAAATAAAAAAAAGTATATTTTACTTATCCTTGAAACATTTGTTCATACAACTAAAATTCATCACCAGAAAAAGTTTACGCGTTTTCTGCCGAGATTACAAAAACTATTATATTTGAAGACGTCCACCAAAATATATCGGAAAAATATTAAGATTTACGTGAGCTGAACCGATTTGAAAAATCTCCAAAAATGATTTTTTTATGCATACAAATTGACTCGCCCTAATGCATATGTATGTATAAATATAAATAAAAAACTCAGCCTTTGGGGTTTTTGGAGTAAAAAATTCTTGCTTTTTAAAATAAGGATTTGTGCGTTTCTTTAATTTCTTTATACAAATATTAAAAAAAAATTCCCTCGTGCCAGCCATGTTTCCAACAGTTGTCCCATACATTTCTAAAATCGAGAGCACTCAGCCACGTGACATGCTTAAGGGTAGAAATATAGCCAGCAGGACACGGTCGTGGTCACAGTTTAGGTGACTAGCAAGCCGAATATCAGCTTAACATCGAGGAAATATTGCAAATTACGCAAAGGTTTTACTATTTTTTAGTCATTTATATCGTACATTTACTTTTAATACATTTTAATAAAAAGATTTAAAAAATTTATCATCCATTCGAAGTGTTAACCCTATAACATACCATTACTGTAATGAAATTTAATTCTCCTTTCCATTGTATATTATTTTCCCCGTCTTAGGGATTTTAACTTTTTATATTTCAAAAACTTTTTATCGGCATTTTCTTACAATCACTCCTTTGACGCTAAAACTTTTCTTTGTAAAAGTACGCTTGCAGTTATGGTGGTGCGCGTGCGTTGCAATAGACGCCTTCATTTGTCAAGCGGCTGTCAAACAAACTGTCAAAGTGTAAATTGCACAAATAGCAGAAAATCTAAGAAGAAAGGCTTCGCATAGCAGCCCTCCATTCTGTAATGACAACAACCACAACGCACAATAATAGCCTGGCGCTAAAACGCGAAACAGTAGTTTCGAGTTGTTGCAAGCGCATTAGTGGTTTTTATTTGTAATTTGTATTTCTACATTCACTCAGTTCTATATTTCTTTTTTTTTTTATTTTTGTTTCAATTTCTACTATTTGACGACTCAAAGAAAATTGCCACTTTGTATTTACAAGCAGTTTGACATGTTGCAGCAGCAGCAGCAGCAGCAACTTGCCACATGCCAGTTCCAATGACGGATAATGTACCCAGCAAGCTGAGGGCTAAAGACTTAAGCCGTCGGAAAACAGGAAAACGTAAAAAATAAAAGAAAATAATGCGCAAGCTCACAAGGCAAAGAAAGGCGGTGCAAAGCAATTCCATGGAATCAATTTTATTTATAAATACGAGTACTTATTTTGTGTTGCACATACTCATTTGTTGACTCGCCAGTTTGTTTGTTTGATTATTTGTTTGTTTGCTTGTTTGCTTGGCTCTGCCTGCAGTTGCATTTACAATATTTTCTTAGCTGCTCGCTTTACATTTTCTTCTGTGTTTTCTTTTTTTGCTCTCTCTCTTATGACTCAAAGGCAAAAATGGCAAATAAGTTTTGGCAATTTGTATGCCAATCGTTTTCGTGCAACTACTTGGCGTCCCACTTAAGTAGTTTGTTGCAGTTGCTTTTGTTTATCGTTGCTGCAGGGGTTTGGTGCCCTTAATGCGTACACGTGCAATCAGTAATGCAGTGCATGTACATACATACATACATAAACACACACAGACACACAGCTACACAAATAAACAAAATGCTTTCTTGAGGAAGTACATATTTCTCTTTTGTATGCGACATTTTAGCGAATTTCATGATAAATAGATGTTGCAAGTGCTTGCAGCTGCCTACAAGATTTGCTCAATTTTATCGATGGTGCAGTAGTGGAGCTGGTCCTGGTGCGATAGTTAAGTTACAATAGTAGCTAATAGTGGTTGGAGTTAAGTATATTTCAATTCAGAATCTATTAGAGACGGAAGTGGTTACGATTTCATAAACTAAAAAATAATCCTTGTTATTGAATTTCAATTTTGATATACTTTAAAGACTAAATCATTTAAAAACTCAAAAATTTATTTTTTAATACCATTATCATTATTTTCTTTCTTTTCAGGTAAGCTTATCCTGGTAAACTACAAAGCATGTAGAACATTAGGTAAAGATGGGACTGATCTTAGACATAAACACTGCAATTAAGATTTCTGCTTTTCCATATGTAAGTATTTTTGATCAGTGTTCGCTGAGTTGTATTGTTTAAGTTTTTAAGACATTAGCCTCTTCTTGAAATATTTATGTACATAAACGGAGCTACTGCCTTCCACTAAAAATATAAAAATCCATAAAATCTGATCCCTGAACCGGTATTTATTACTCGACATAAGAAGTAGGCTTTCGCTAGGGTTAGATAAGATTGGATTTAAAAAAGTAAGTGCGCCTGGGCCACACTGCAGAAGTGAAACTTACGTTACATATCTATTTTGTCATATGAATATGTACACAAGAATATAGTCCATATTCAAAGATATTTTCTTTTCTAATACAATTTTCGGTAGGAAAGAGTTTCTGTTCTGTCTATTGAAGAATTAATATTATTTTATTTTAGAAAGCCACAATTTCAATTTTTTAAATTTGAATTTGAATTTTTATTTTTTACGAAATTCTCATAAGCGGACATCTCTCATAGGCAACAAAAAGTACGTGACAATCGGTGTCCGCTTATGGGACAGCCAAAATCAATAACAATATGGGTGGAAAAATCGATTAGAAAATCGGTAAAAATATCGATAACAAAATCGATAAAAAGATCTATATATAACAAAATCGATAACAAAAATCGAATAGAAAGTCGATAACAAAATCGATAAAATATCGATAACAAAATCGATAAATATTCGATCACAAAATCGATAAATAATCGATAAAAATCGATAAAAAATTCGCTAAAAATATCGTTAACAAAACCAGTAACAATATTGATAAAAAAATCGTTTAAAAAAATATCGATTATAAAATCAATTGCAAAATCGATAAAAATATCTTTAATTATATCGGTAAGTTTCGAAAATATCGATAACAACATTGATAAAAATTTCGAAAACAAAATCGGTAAAAAATATCGATATCAAAACCGATAAAAATATCGATTATTATCTCGAAAAGTCTCGAGAATCCCAAAATATTTTCCAGATTCCAGTATATCCTTTTCTCTATAATTAGAAACCCGTACTTTAATCCTTCTTCTTCTATCTTCATCTTTACTTTTATCGGTATCCTCGTCCTCATCTTTTTCTTTATATTTAGCTTTGTTTTTACTTTTATGTTTATCATTTTCTCCATCAACATATTCCCCTTCACCTATGATCTTATATAAGTAAAGTGTGTAAATTTATATTGGTCTTAATTTTGCCTTTATCTTTACGCATCTTTGTTTTTGTTTTAACTTGTACCTTTGCCTTTATCCTTTTCTTTATCTGTGTACGTACTCACCTTGACTTTCATTTTTGTGTTGGTCTTTTTCTAAGTGTTATTCTTTAATCTGTTATTAGCAAGTTTTTGTTAAATTAATACCATGAGCATACACTCAAGAAGCACTTGTTTCTGCCCCAGCCGTTTCCGTGCGAAATTTACGTTGAGTTCGCCAATTTACTCCCAACCAACCACACACAGTTTAAGAACGAGAGGTTCTCAAAGCTACTCCATACATATCGAACTCATACATATAAATAAGAGCAGAGACCTGCCTGAGCTTAAAAAAACTGTCGGCTATTCCCAGCTAACACAGTCACTAACGTTAAAGTAATGCTTTTATTTAGATTTGAGAATTCTAAAATATTTGCGCGCATCGAACATCAGTTTAGAGAACTAAGTTAGAATTCCATTAGAGAATGCTTAGAAAAATCGCAAGACGTTAGAAACCAATTAGAATTCAAAGTTAAAATACGATTGGATACCTAACCTCTTTCTCCATATTGAGAACTAAGTTGTCTTTTTATTCGCCTTCTAACCTTCTACCTTAGAGAAACACATTATAATTGGAATCTTCTTCTAATCGATCTCTAACCTAAAGCTTTGTTGCGTTATTAAGGAATGGACGACCCCAACCGAGTTTTATTAAACAAAATCAACGATTTTACAAAACAGAAGTTTATGGTGTTTTATTGCGATATTTCGTATTTAAGAGACAATGGGCCGTATGAATAAATTCTAGGCAAATGCTTTTTCGTAAAATTTCAGACCATTCACTCAATTCTCAGACAAGTCAGAGAGTTTAGTCAAGAGTGGAGAACAGGCGTAATCAGGAAATTCAGGGCCGGAAAAATTAAAGATATGTATATAGAAAGATACTCGAAATACCTGGGTCTAATTTTTTGTTTTTGACTGCAGCGTCCTTCAGGCTCACCTGGTGGCTATTGTTGCATCACTGATATACCTTTATGTGATAACTTGAGACAACAAAACTTTCTTTGAAAACCACTTGGCTTTCATATCGCTTAAAAGAGATGCCCTAAGTTATAGCAACAGGCTTTCGTCACGCAGTGCATTTGTTTGTTATTTCAACTCATGATTTGCAAGGAATTTCCATACAAATAAGTAGATGTCCTTACCGGGTTTTACCTGACGAATTTATATGTGTTCAGATTAGGTTTTTCTTGAAATTATTTTGCAGAGCATACCACAAAAAAAAAGAAGAGCAGCGGAGCATCAAACAACTTCTTCCATATTGCCCGTCAATTAAAAGACGCGGAGTACAAACTTTTCGAAATCTTAAACTTCCAAAGGGCGATAGATAACACACACCAAAGACTTTGGAATTGATCGAAAATCCACACGTTCGCTAAAATTCTATACGAAAATCTACATACGCTTCACATTTTACAAAATTCTGGCAACGAAAATAGCATGTTGCTCCTTGAACTTATATATTCTTCACCGTTCTACGATTAATTTTGCTTTCAACGATACAAATTGAATATATCTACCATAGCGTGTGAATATATACTATATACTTACATATCACAAATGTACATGTGTATATACTACTATTCATATACACAAATCCATACCTGTCCTATGCAGTTACACGTTTAAATATGGTCGTAAAATGGAGAGTGAAAAAAAATTGAACACAAGCACACAACAGAAAAATGCCTAACTGTTGAGGTGACTCACTATTTAACTAAATGCGACACAGAAAAACCAAGCTAACAAAGCCAAGTTAGCCGGATGCGAAGTCTAAGGGCCGACTAGCCGACAAACTGGCGTCAAAGTCGTAACACCAAAGCACTGAAGCACAAAAGTTCATTGTCTTTTAGGTTTGTAAAGCAGCGAATAACAAAAATAGATATAGCAACAATGTAATGAGGCATACTTTTAGGTGAACAAGCCTGTTGTGTTGCATTTTGATTTAGACTTTTTTGTTGTGGCATTTTTGTTGCACTACAATGTTGCATACACGCATTGCATAAATATGTATGCCGTGTGAGGATTGTGTTGCGGTGGCTTTGACGTGGCGTGTCGACTGCGGTTCGCTTTTTTTTTTTTTTTTTTTTTTTTTGTAAAATATCACTTTTGTAGTAGGACTGACTAACTTTTGTTTTCTTAGTAGCACGCGCTGTGTATGCACTGCAGTCTATTCTTTGTTTTCCGCTTCGCCGCCGGTGGTGCGCGCTTTGCAGCCCTATCGAAAATACCTACTCATGTTATGCTAATGCGTGGTGCGTAATTTAAAGCACTTGTGTCAGTTGCATACTTTAAGGCGCCCAGCTATATCGATGATTTAAAATTCAAGGCAATTATTTCTGCATACTTATATAATTATTTACAAGTAGTTGTAGTGCATCTCACCCGAAGGTTTTTTTTTTAGTATTTATTGTGGCTTTGTCAGCATTGGCCCCTCTAATTATGCAATCGTTTTTTCTCTAATTGCCGCGCGAAGGTTAAAGGGCATTTTTGTATGTATAGTACTGTGTGCAGCAAGCAAAACCGCGAAGCAAAGGTGCAGTTATAATAAAGAGAACTTTAGTGTAAAAAAAAAAAAATAAAAAGAAAAATAACTGACAGCGCAACAGCACCCTAACTGTATACCTCAATTCGCTTAAGTGACTCACGTTCACGCTTAGAGGTATGCATGCATCACATTAGTTTGTGTCTACGTTGCAAGTGACCCTTAGTGCACCATTACCCTCGGCAATGAATTTCCGGTTAACTAAAACAATTTGCAAATTGCACAAGCCACAAATTATCTACACATACATATAAACATAAGCGCTAAAATGAGCACAATATGCATACAACTACATAAATACTTGGCCATATGAAAGTTTATATCTGCCATTTACCTGCGCCGAGTTTCACACTTGAGCTATAAATACAAAAAGTTTGTAGAATTTTGGGCGGCCAACAACTTGCAACACACATGCGCGCTCGTAATCCACCCTGTTTTGCAGTTTTTTTTTTGTGCAAATTTCTCAGTCGGCAATTGTGATTATTATCGTCGCAGCAAAACCCTTAGGTGACGCGGCGCATTTGTGGTGGCCACACTTGGCACTTGGGTGGTGGCACCACGTCTGACACAAGGGTCACCACCAACAGGCATACGAACAGCCGCAGACCTCCTCCAACTTTTTGCAGGTGAGTTGCTTTGTTGGTGTAGATGTCAGTGTCATCAGCAGCAGCAGGAGCGCTTGCCATGAGTTGTGGTTTTAATGGGCCTGTAGTTGCGGTTGACGCTCATGGCAGCTAAGCACAAACAAACACCAATACATACATACCTACCTGCGCGTACAAACATACACTTCTACATCTATTTTTATTGTTGTTTTGTTTAATTTTCTCAATTTGTGTATTGTCAGTTGCCGTTGAAAGTTGCCGCAACTCAAACTTTTCAACATGTCACGACGATGTGCTGACGGTAGTTAGCTGCACGCACACACATACACACTTAAGCCATGAATGTGAAACTGGCAAAAAAAACCAAAAACACACACACACGCCATTTTACCTATTTGCTGCTTATCCTTGTCCCTGTTGCTAGCTACCTATTTCATTTTGCCTTATTCAATTTTAATTTCCACTCTGCATTTTTTTTTCTCCTTGCTTGAGCATTTCTGAGTACGCTAAGCGAAGAGCTGCCATTTCAGGTGAAGTTAAGCTGACGCTGTTGTTGCCGTTTTTATTGCTTTCTAGTGTTGTAGCCTGCTATAACACCCGGAAACT